AATACAGTAAATTGATACCACACAGAGTGGGGTGTTGCTATAAAGATACTTGAAAATGGCCGGGCGCGGCGGCTCAAACCTGTAATCCCAGCACTTTGGGAGGCCGAGACGGGCGGATCACGAGGTCAGGAGATCGAGACCATCCTGGCTAACACGGTGAAACCCCGTCTCTACTAAAAAATACAAAAAACTAGCCGGGCGCGGTGGCGGGCGCCTGTAGTCCCAGCTACTCAGGAGGCTGAGGCAGGAGAATGGCATGAACCCGGGAGGCGGAGCTTGCAGTGAGCTGAGATCCGGCCACTGCACTCCAGCCTGGGTGGCAGAGCGAGACTCCGTCTCAAAAAAAAAAAGATACTTGAAAATGTGGAAGTGACTTTGGAACTGCGTATCAGGCAGAGGTTGGAACAGTTTGGTGGGCTCAGAAGAAGAGAGGAAGATGTGGGAAAGTCTGAAACTTCCTAGCGACTTGTTGAATAGCTTTGACCAAAATGCTGATACTGATGTGGACAATGAAGTCCAGGCTGAGGTGATCTCAGATAGAGAGGAGGAACTTGTTGGGAATGAGAATAAAGGTGACTGTTGCTATGCTTTGGCAAAGAAACTGGCAGCATTTTGCCCCTGCCCTAGAGATCTGTGGAACTTCGAACTTGAGAGAGATAATTTAGGGTATCTGGCAGAAGAAATTTCTAAGCAGCAAAGCATTCAAGAGGTGATTTAGGGGCTCTAAAAAGCATTAAGTTTTATGCATTCACAAAGAGATACTTTGGAATTGAAACTTATGTTTAAATGGGAAGCAGAGCATAAAAGTTTGGAAAATTTGCAGCCTGACAATGCAATAAAGAAAAACCCATTTTCTGAGAAGAAACTTGCATAAGTAATGAGGAGCCAAACATTAATCCCCAAGACAATGGGGAAAATGTCTCTAGGGCATCTCAGAGACCTTCACAACAGCCCCTCCCATTACAGGCCTGGAGGTCTAGGAGGGAAAAATGGTTTTGTGGGCCGGGTACAGGGCCTTACTGCTTTGTGTAGTCTCAGGACTTGGTGCCCAGTGTCTCAGTCATGGCTAAAGGGGCCAACATACAGCTCAGGCCATTGCTTCAGAGGGTGCATGCCCCAAGCTTTGGTGGCTTACAGGTGGTGTTGGGCCTGTAGGTGCACAGAAGTCAAGAACCGAGGTTTGGGAACCTCCACCTAGATTTCAGAGGATGCATGGAAATGCCTGGAGGTCCAGGCAGAAGTTTGCTGCAGGCGTGGAGCCCTCACGAAGAACCTCTGCGAGGGCAGTGTAGAAGGGAAATGTGGGGTTGGAGCACTCACAAAGAGTCCCCACTGGAGCACTGCCTAGTGGAGCTGTGAGAAGAGGGTAACCATACTCCAGACCCCAGAATGGTAGATCCACCAACAGCTCGTACTGTGTGCTTGGAAAAGTGCCAGACACTCAATGCCAGCACATGAAAACAGCTGTGAGACGCTGTACCCTGCAAAGCCACAGGGCCAGAGCTGCCCAAGGCTGTAGAAGCCCACCTTTTACATCAGCATGATCTGGATGTGAGACATGGTGTCAAAGGAGATCATTTTAGAGGTATAAGATTTGATTGCCCTGCTGGATTTCAGACTTGCACGGGGCCTGTAGTGCCTTCATTTTGGCCAATTTCTCACATTTGGAACGGGTGTATTTACCCAATACCTGTACCCTAAATGTAGCTGGGAAGTAACTAACTTGCTTTTGATTTTACAAGCTCATAGGCAGAAGGGACTTGCCTTGTCTCAGATGAGACTTTGGACTTGGACTTTTGGGTTAATGCTGGAATGTGTTAAGATTTTGGGAGACTGTTGCAAAGACATGTTTGTGTCTTGAAATGTGAGGACATGAGATTTGGGAGGGGCCAGGGGAAGAAGGATATAGTTAGGCCTTGTGTCCCTACCCAAATCTCATTTTGAATTGTAATCCCCATTAATCCCCACATGTCAAGGGAGAGACCAGGTGGAGGTAACTGGATCATGGGGGCAGTTTCCCCCATGCTGTTCTAATGATAGCAAGTGAGTTCTCACAAGATCTGATGGTTTTATAAGGGGCTCTTCCCCCTTAACTCAGCACTTCTCCTTCCTGCTGCCTTGTGAAGAAGGTGCCTTGCTTCCCCTTCACCTTCCACCACGACTGTAAGTTTCCTGAAGCCTCCCCAGCCATACTGAACTGTGAGCCAATTAAACCTCCTTCCTTTGTAAATTACCCAGTCTCAGGCAGTTCTTCATAGCAGTGTGAAAACGGACTAACACACTTAGAAAGCCACATATTAACATAATTGATTAAAAAAGAATTAGAAAATCTAAATGTATGGACAGAATTGTGTTCCCCCAGAATTCGTATGTTGAAGCCCTAACCCCCAAATATAACTGTATTTGGAGTTGGGCCTTTAAGGAGGTAATTAAAGCTAAATAAAGTCATAAAGGTGAGGCCTTAATCTGAAAGGACTGGTGTTTTTTTGGGTTTTGTTTGTTTGTTTGTTTTGAGACAGTCTCTCACTCTGTCACCCAGGCTAGAGTGCAATGGCACGATCTCAGCTCACTGCAACCTCTGCCTCCCAGGTTCATATGATTCTCCTGCCTCACCCTCCCAAGTAGCTGGGATCACAGGCACCCATCACTATGCCCTACTAATTTTTGTATTTTTAGTCGAGATGGGGTTTCACCATGGTGGCCAGGCTCAAACTCCTGACCTCAAAAGATCCACCTGCCTCAGCCTCCCAAAGTGCTGGGATTACAGGCGTGACCCACCATACCCAGCCTAGGACTAGTGTTCTTATAAGAAGAGAAGATACTGGAGCTCTGAGAGTGCACACAGAGAAAAGGCCATGTAAGGACACAGCCACCCATAAGCCAAGGAGACAAGCCTTACCAGAAACCAACCTTGTTGGCACCTTGATCTTGGACTTCTAGCCTCCAGAATTGTGAGAAAATAAATATATGTTTTTTACATTACTCAATCTGTTGTATTTTGTTATGGCAGCCCAAATTGATTAAGATGAAGTAATCACAAAAAAAAAAAAACTCAAAATACTCATAATTAAAAGAGTACACATAATTATTTGCAGTGACTGGATCTTATTTGGATACCGATTTGAACAAACATTTTAAGAAGTGAGAAAATCGGGGTAATGTGACTACTGATTGGATATACAGGAATTATTGATATAATATTTATGTGTGATAATACAGGTGACACTTATCAGAAGTGCACAGGGCCAAAAGTGTTTCAGATTTCAGATTTTTTTTTTTGGATTTTGGAATATTTGCATTATATACTTGGCAGTTGAGCATCTGAAATTGAAATGTGAAATCTGAAATGCTCCAATGAGCACTTCTATAGAGTGTCATGTCAGCGCTCAAAGAGTTTAGGATTTTGAAGCATTTCAGATTTCAGATTTTTGGATTTGGAATGCCTAATCTGTAGTTTTGTGCTTACGTTTCTTAAAAAATACTTTTTCTTTTAGAAATATATATTATTTGTGAATGAAATGATAAAGAGGAGAGTAGGTAAGGAGTATGGATAAAGTAGGATTGGCTATAAATTGATAACTGTCAAAGGTGGGTGATGGTTCCATTAATGTTTATCATATTATCCTTTTTTGCTTTTATACATGCTTGATTTTTTCATAGTAAAAGTGAAAATGTTTACAATAATAATAAAATAGTATGGAATTGGTACAGAGTTAAGCAAACGGACTAAAACAAAACAAAAGCTAAGAATATATAGCCCAGAAATGGATTATTGTGCAAGTAAAACATGCTATGTGACAGAGATAGCATTAACAATTACTAGGGCAAAGGGAAAATTCAATATCTGATGCTGGATCAACCCCTATTCAAATGACAAAAAAAGTCACTGGATTTCTCTACTTCACACAGCACACAAAATTAAATTCCAGATAAATTAGGGACTTAAGTGTGAAAGGCAAAACTTTAAATCTTCAAAGACAACATAGGAGAATATCTTTCAAAACCATATCATAGACTTCTTAAATAAAAAACATTAGCCATAAAAGAGTCATAAATTATACTGTATTAAAATGACAACTTCTATTTAAAAAGACACTAAAAATGGGAGAGGAGGAATATAAAATACATAAAGTTGTGTAACTACAAGTCAGTCAGAAAAAGATGCACAATCCAATAGAAAAAAGGGCAAAAGATATGAACAGACATTTCACAGAAGAGGCAACATGCATGTCCAATAAATACATAATAGGATGCTCTGCTTATTAGTAATTAGGGATATACTAATTATGACTATATTCAGAGACACCTACAGGATTGACACAAATTAAGCAGTCTGATAATATCATGTTTGGAGAAAATGTAGACCAATCATAAATTTTATATATTCTGATGGTAATGTAAATTGGTACAACCAATTTGGAAAGCAACTTAGCAATACTTTGTAAAGTGAACATTTACTAATTTATTAGCCCATAAATTCCACTCTTGCATATATATTTTAGAGAAACTCTTGAATATATTCTTAGAAGAGAAACAACCCAGAAGTTCATGATCAGGAGATGAATATATTGTCATACAGTCACAAAATATTTAATAGCATTTAAAATGAATAAGCTATAGTTGTAAGAAACAACATGCATAAATTTTAGAAACTCATGTATGAAAATAGGGAATTCCACATAACTATGTGAAGAATGATTTCACTTTTATTTATCTCTGAAATAAGCATAAACAATATGTTGTTTAGGCAGATGTATATACAAAGTAAAAAACAATTAAGCAAGAGAATGATAAACACCGTATTCAGTCTAGTCACTAATTCCTGGGGAGAGGCAGAAGAGAGAGGTAAGTCTTCTACTTCTTGTGCTGATTGATTTCATAAGTTTGTGGTACTGTGCTTTATAACTTACATATGTTCTTGTGTAAATATCAAATATATTTTTAAAAGGTTACAGAAAAATTACTCTACATTAAAACATCATTAAAAATGAAATTCATACCTTCAACTATGCTGGACTTAGCAAGAAATCCTGAAGATGTTTTTAGAGCTCCATTGAATACCACAAAACTTGCACCTGTCACTGATCAAGAAATACAACAATTATTTGTTTTGAACTGCTCATTTTTATGTTACACATTTGTTAAATGCAGAATGTGGATATGCACATAAGTACTCAATAAATGTTACACCCACAAAACTTACACTAGAAAACTAATTATAAAAACAAAAAAAAGAGAGATAAAATATTACATTAAAATAAGTTAATGCGGCTGGATGCAGTGGCTCATGCCACCAGATTGGTGGCTCAATCCCAGCACTTTGGGAGGCCAAAAAGGGCGGATCACCTGAGGTCAAGGGTGGATCACCTGAGGTCAAGGGTGGATCACCTGACCAGCCTGGCCAACATGATGAAACCTCGTCTCTACTAAAAATACAAAAATTAGCCAGGAGTGGTGGCAGGCACCTATAATCCCGGCCACTCAGGAGGCTGAGGCAGAACTGCTGGAACCCAGGAGGTGGAGGTTCCAGTGAGCCGAGATCGTGCCACTGCACTCCAGCCTGGACGACAGAGCGAGACGCTGTCTCAAATAAATAAATAAATAAACTTATA